CCACCTCTGAATCCCCTTCAATTATGAGTTTTCTGATATTCATCTCCTTAGCTTTCTGGACTCCTTCCATAACTGCAAAGATCTCAGCTCTAAGGGAGTCACCCACTCCAATTGGGCCTGAGAACAAGGCAAAAATGACCCCATTCTCATCCCTAAAAACACCCCCAATCCCTGATTGTCCAGGATTCCCCCTACTACTCCCATCAAAGTTTAGTTTTAAGAATCCAGCAGGTGGGGGTGGGGGGGTCCAAGACACACTCATTACTGACTTGGTTTGTGTGCAGTTTGCAATCTCACCCACTTCCTCAACATGTCATCCACTATGTAATCTGTGAATAGCTCCAAGGATTTCAGCCACTATACAGCCCTAATATGGATTATAGCCTTCAATTCTTCCGCCCCTCTCTCAACTTCTGAGAAGATCCTGGAATTTCTTTCTTCCCATAATGACCAGCATACTGCAGCCCTCAATCCTCTCCACATAGTCCTTCCCCTTTTCATACGCCACCTAAGAAAAGAAGGGGAGAAAAGGCCCTACATGTCTGATGGAGGGTTTCAACTACATCCAAAGAGAGAAAAAACCCACTCCCAAATTGACTTCGCAAATTGGCAAGCCACCAGTAGGTGAAAACCAGTCTCCCCATCCGCTTTGCAAAGAACACACCAATGAGGTGACAAGCAAGTATTGGGTCTCTTCTTTTGGAGCAGACCACCAGTGTTGAATCTTTCCAAATAGGCTTCCCAACAAAAACTACCAACTCTAGGAGGAATTGGTCTGCACCAAAACTCAATAACAGGGAAAGGGGGGTTACAGGACTGGTGGACTGGCTTAAGACTTTGAAAAAAGAAGCACAAGAAAAGGAGCCAGTGGGGGTAGGGGTCCAAATTCTAGAGTCCACCATAGTGGGGTCTAAGAAATCATTATCAAGAAGTTCGAGGAGGCTCAAAATACTGTCGAGGTCTGAGTCCCTCACAGCCCTTCTCAGACCCAGGTTCCACCCAAGCCCAAAATTGGAAGAGGAAGGGGTGATGAAAGAAGAAACTAGCTCATTTTTAAAATCAGATAGAGCATACAAAGAAGGAAACTGGTCCTTTAGAGGGGCATTCCACACCCAAGTTTGTTCCCAAAATTTTATGGAGTTACATGAATTCAAATCATACCTGATA